CGTATCAGACACAGTTCGGTATCTAGGATTCCTTTTAGACAAAAGACTAACATGGAACCCACATACCAGACTTAAAAGGCAAGAACTTAACGACTTGGCCAGTTATACAGACTACTTAACAGAAAATCCAAACTCTCAACCGAAAACAAACTATTAATATACAAGACCATACTGAAACCAATCTGGATCTACGGACTTGAGCTGTGGGGGACAACTAAATTTTCGAACATCAAACGCATCCAATCCTTCCAGTCTAAAGTCCTCCGTATAATATTCAATGCTCCTTATTATGTTACAAACAAAACCTTACATCATGACCTTTACATTCCTTATGTCCTTGACGTTATTCCATCTCAATTCTCAAATTTTCATCTGAACCTAATTCACCATCCTAACCCCTTAGCACAATCCTTATCCAGCTACAGTCACTCCTACTACCCTCCTAGAAGGTTGAAACGGCAGTGGCCTAGAGACCTTTTGTAAAGACTGTCACTGGAGTTCTGGCAATGGCCAGCCTCTCCACTCAAGTCATGAGCGTCTGTTGCTTTAGTGCTCTCTCTCAGTTTCTATTGGACTCCAATGCCGGTGACGCGGCTGAGAGAGAAGTGCTGGGATCTCTTAGAGTCTCGCTTTGTCCTTCACACGTGGAGGAAAGGGCTGGACTGGGAGCTCCCTTGGCTGATTGTAAATATTGTAATTAAGTATGAATGTTTTTCTTTTTTATATATTTATTTGTTTTACTTATGACTTATTTAATTTGCTACCAATTTCTGTTTTGTTTTTTTTAATTTGATTTCAAGTTACATTTCCTTGGTTTTATAGTTTTTGCCTTTGTTATATAGATATATATTTTTATTTTGTATTTATTTTTATTGTATTGTATATATAGTATGAATGGGCCTCACTCAGCCTAAGTACTCAGTGCCCTTACTAAGTACTCAGTATTAAAGGGCCCATTGAACCGCTGCTTTCCACAGATTGTTCATCATCCTCATTCCTAAGGAAGTCCATCCCTTCCTACATCCATCGCTCCAATACCCTCAATAATTTTAAATCCTGCCTGTTAAATCATTTCTTATCCACCCACTTGATTTTTTCATATTTTCATCTAAAAATATATATTTAAAAGTTGAATTTGTATATAATACATGGTATTTGTAGATAATAATTAGTATTTATGGAATTTTATAATCTTTTTTACATTTAATAATCAAAATGTGATTGGGTAAGAAAGATTAGAGAAAAAAAAATTGAAAAACGAACCATTATTATTCTAAAAGAAATTAATTACATCATCGTTTAGTAGCGCGAGTTTCTTCCTCTTGCCTTCACTACTTCTTGAAGACGCCTCGGCATACTTTCCAGCAGTCGGGAAATGTCCCTTTGCTGGAGGATAGCTCATTCCTCCCGAAGAGCCCTTTCAAGGCCCTGCAGTGTATCAGGAAGAGTTGCACGAGCTCTTATTCCTCTTCCGAGGTTATCCCATAAATGCTCAATGGGGTTCAAATCTGGAGAACGTGCTGGCCAGGCTAAAACCTCATATTGTTCTGTTGAAGGAACATCTGCACTATGCGGGCGACAAGTCGGCGTGCATTAGAATAAAACGATCGTTGAGGATAGGTAACACATGAGGTTCCAAAATCTCATCTACATAGCGAATGGCCGTCAAAGACCCTCCATGAACAACAACCAATTCTGTGCAGCGCTCCATTGAAATCCCAGCTCACACCATTAATGAATCACATTGGAAAGGTTGGCTCTGGGAAAAATTACAGGCTGCATATCTTTCGTTTCTTCTTCTCCACACCCTTTCACGACGGTCTGGGGATCGAAGAGCGAATCTTGACTCATCTGTAAAAAGTACAGCACTCCATTCGTCCATAGTCCAATGGCTGCGTTTTCGAGCAAAAGCCAGCCGTGTTACTCTGTGAGTTCTGGTCAACTCTGGTCCTCTTACTGGACGAAAAGCCATTAATCTATACTCATTTAATCTTCTCCGAGTGGTACGTTCAGAAATTTGCTCACCTCAAACTTCTTCGAGCTGATGAATCGCTTGAACAACGGTAAGGTGCCGGTTTTGTAAAATTCTTAAAGTCAAAAACCGGTTATATCCCGTGGTTCTGTTACCCTAGGGCGTCCAGAACCTAAGCCTTCTATTGTAAGAACCGGTTTCCCTAAAACGCCTGACGGCGTCTCGTGAAGTTTCATATGGAACTCCGATGGCATTAGCTGCATATCTAATGGAACGCCCATCATCAATAAGTGCCACACCACGCGCAACATCCTCAGCACTAAGAGGCATTTTCAAACTTAATATTGAAAAAATTAAAAGCCGGAGACTAAGAAATGTGCTGCAAGAAACGGCACTGAACTAATGATACTGAATAAACATTTTGATTCCATAGAAAGTAAACATTGGAATCTAGAATCATTTCATTGAATTAAGGATTAAGGGTTATTGTCCTCTATATCAACATTCCTAATTGAAAACAAACAAAAAGATTACCTATTTATTCATTAAAAATAATAGATCAATCCAAAGCAGAAATATTTTTAGATGAAAACATGAAAAAATCAAGTGGGTGGAATATTTTGCCTGTCAGTGTAAATACTATTGTAACTATGTACATAAATTACTTACATACTTCGTATTTTTTCAATTTTTTTTGTTATTAACTGTTTAAAGTTAGAAATCAATTTAAATTTTTATTATTATGACTACTTATTTACTTTATATATCTCTGAGGCTCCTTAGCATACATACATTTTTGTCATTCTTTATTATTCTAAAGGGACTCGTCCCAGAATAAATTAAGTATTATTATTATGACACCAGAGGATGAATATTGTTATTATTACAAGAAGCAATCCTTTTCATAGTGCTAGATAGAGCCTAAAGAAGGGTCTTTAGATTTGCCAAGACCCATATCAACTCAAACCATTTGTAATAATTTGTCAGAACATGGTCTAACATCTTATAACCCTTTAAGACAACCTGCAGCAACAGTGCATAACCAATAACTTCGCAGATTATAATGCAGCAAGTGCCTAGATGAGGATACAAATTAGAATGAAAGAGTCATCTGAGAACAGGAGATAAGTACACTGCCACAGTTTTTGCTTCCTTCAATGCAGTTTAGAGGTGAAAGTAAAGATATGACAGTACTGGTGAAGCAATGATGTGTCACAGTCTAGGTTTGGAACAGTGACAACCTCTTTTTCGTTTCATTCCATTCTCTTGGATCTTACTGGTCTAGTGATAGTGACTAAAGTCTTCTTATCCATTCCCTTACTTAATTTATGAATATATTATATTTATTGACCAACAGTATGCTTGTCCATCAATTAATTAATATGTCGTAGGTGTATAGTAAAAAGAAATTTCATTACATTAAATAATTAATCCCTTCAGGAAATCAGAAAATTGTGCGCTTGTTGCAACTGTATTCAATATATAAAAGAATTTGTGTCATTTCCATGCCTTTATAGTGACTTCATATTGAAAAACAAAGTCAAATTAACAAAAAGCATATTTGAAAGTTAACCTATACAATATTGCACTTAGTATAACCGCAATAAACCGCCAATCTATATAAGTATACATAAACCATATTTGTGAATATGGAAACAATAATTTGTTTTGTTGAATCTCAATATTAACAGAAAATACATATTATTAACAGTTGAGTAAATAGTATTTTTAATTTGAATTAAAATTTTATCTGTGTTTGATTATTATTTGCTGATTTTCATAATAGATTCATTCCATTGAAATGTTTTTTTTAACATTTTAAAACTTGGCAATTGAGAAAACCCCTTTTACTCAGGCCGCTGCGACTATGGTCACAGAAACACTGGCTGCTCCGAAACTATGCCTCTCATACAACAATGACCTTACTGTTACTTTGTCACAGGCATAGTCAGATCGGAGCAGTCAAATATGCTCCACTGCTCCACTCCAACTGCGCCAGAGACAGAGTGTTGGTAAGGCACAACTGTGACAGCAGAACAGTTAAGCCTAGTAGAGGAGCAGTGGCCTGGCTCCAATTTGACTGTGACAGTGACAGTGACAGAGTACCAGACTGTAAGGTACAACAGGTACAGGTACAGAGCAGCCACTGTATCTGTGACCAGAGTACAAATATTTGTAACTTGCAAATATTTTCGGGATAGGGGTGTTTTCAACTTGGAGATCTGCAAATATTGTCTACTTATTTAGGTACTAAAAATTCAACGAAATTCCACTGGCCAAACGGCCAATATTTTGCAGGCCACCTTTTTTTTTATTTAATTTTGTGATCATATTATCTTACGATTCAAGTGGAAAGAAAATCAGTATTCATGAGTTTTTAATACCTAATTAAGTAGACAAAGTTTGCCTACCTACAGATTAAAATTGCCCCAATTCAGAGAATTTTCGAAAATAAAATATTTGCAGGCTACAATGACATGAAGCTATTTACGAAATTTTAGGCAGATGTTAATAATTTGATAAAAAGGTATCTGTACAACGAACTATTGATTTTCATTGTATTTTATAGTAAAAATGAAAAAAAATAATCTAGGGAAAATAAATCATACATAACTAACAATACCCCTGTCCATTTTTGAACAGTATAGATCATCTGAATATCGGAGATAAATTAAGGGATGGAAACATACCTTTAAGTATTAATAGCAACTATAAAATGAAAGACATTCAGACTTAAAACAACTAATGAAGATATTTACAAATAAAATTCAAACCAAAAACACTAGTTAAATAATTCAACCGTAAAATATATTAACTACAGCCTTTACAACATTGACTGAACTGTAAACTGGCTTAAAATTGATGCATAAATTCTATTAAAAAAACATTTCTTTCAAAACATTATATTCTACCTGTATACCTCCAAAACATAAATAGAAATGTTATAATGCACCTAATATCATAACCCAAAACCATAAGTCTAATAAATAAAACAATTAATTTAAATGAATCAAAAGAATTCAAGTACCTTGTGAAAAGAAACTGGAATACTGCTGGAGATATACTGAGAATCATCTTCAGTAGAAAAATACTCTGTAAACAAATAGTACTTTACCAACAAAAAATCTTAGGTTGAATGTTACAATAAAACTAAAATATTCTCGAGGGAAATTTAAGAATGATGAATGTTAAATTATGCATTTATCTATAAAGATATTTTACCATTTTCAACTGAATCGATAGACAAACTTGTAAGTATTAAGAAGCTGAAAATCACGAACAAAGATTTGGAAAAATAGAAACTTCCTTCCATTTCACTGCATTTTGAATGAGAATACTACCAATCAACTTTTGAAATATCAAAATACCATTCTTGAACCACAATGCAACCTCAAGTATTATCGATTTTTTGGAGCGAACTACCCGGTGATTTAGAGGTTCAAGACTTAGAGTTATTGCTGTTTATTTATACTGGCCACAGTAACATTGTTCAAGTACACAACATTTTTTTTTCAATCAATATTAAAACTGGAAAAAGTTTTTCTATGTGTTGAGATTCAAGTCAATTAAATTTGAATATTAAAGAATTTCGGGTACTTTTTGACTAGCAGGACGACAGGAAACCTCATTTCTTATCTATCTTATCTAACGGCACGTCACATAACCTTCCTCTTCTTATCCCGCCAAACCTTTGAGTTATTGCATTGTTTAGTTTTCAGTTATTCCCTTATTACGTTCACTTATTAAATTCTTTACTTTTGGCCCGTTTGTGTTTATTTTTCATTTTTTTTTTTTTTAGTTTGTGGCCCCTTAGTGTTTATTTTTAATTTTTTTTTCGTTTATTTTCGTCATATTATGGATCTTCTTAGAATATGAGATTTGCCGTCTTCAGAAGAACAGGCAATTCAATATTTACAAAATGTTTGGATACTTGCAGACGTGATATTGTGTGAAAGAGTTCATCGCATGAAGTTAACCAGGAAAGCCAAATGGAGAAGCTGTCGTAGGACTTTTTTGTGACACAAAAATTTCAATAAGGAAAGGAACATGGTTGGATGGCTCGAGGTTTCGTTTTTAACAGCTTTAAAATTGATTTATGGGTGGTCCCATAGCTTAACAACGATGAAGTGGGGCAAAGAGCAGCTGAAACTATCCAACGGAGCTATGGTAACTTGGAACAAATATCTAAGAGAGATTTGGGCCCATGACATGTTATACAGCCCAAGAAAAAAAATTGTAAGACCTGGCAAAGTGGTTGAAGTAGACGAAAGTCTTTTTTCTAAACGAAAAAATCAAGTGGGGAGAGTTTCACCTCAGCAATGGATGTTTGGTGGAGTTTGCCGAGAAACAGATGAATGTTTTATCATCAAAATAAATGACAGAAAAGCAACAACCTTATTACAAGCAATTAAAGACAATGTAGAAGAGGGAACGACCATTTATTTGAGCTGTTGGAGAAGGCCTATAAAACAGATGAAAAAACGGCTTATGTTTTTTTTATTATTTCATTAAAAAAACCGGTGAAAAACGGCTTACGTTTTTTTATTATTTCATTAATATATGTGTCGTAAAATAAAAGTTTTTTTTTTTTATTATTACATTTGTTTCTGTATCTGTTTACACTTTCAATAATACGAATATAATACAATAATACGAAGATAGGAAGTAGGAGAAGGCTTATTACTGCGTTATCAGAATTATCAGTGTTCAGGTTATAAACATTGGCAGATAGCAGTCAGTGCCGGCCTGCTAGTCAAAAACTGAGACATTCCTCGGTCTCATCTTTAGTTTTTAACAAATAAATTTTGGCAAAGTGAGTATAATCATCTAACATGGTCAATATGTACCTGTTTTGGTCATATGTTACTCGAGATATTGGACCACACAAATCAGAATGAATAATTTGACATACTCGATGTGCCCTTTCTCTTTGTGTAGTAAACGGTAAACGCGTTTATTTTGATTTAGTACATACCTCACAGTTGTCAGCTAGGCTATTCAATTCTGACTCTGTGATATTTACTTCATCTACCATCCCTATGAGTTTCTTCAGGTTGTCAATTCCAAGATGACCCATTTTTCGATGCAATAACTGCGCATTTGATATTTTTTATTTACCAAATATGTTTCATTTTGAGATTTTTCAATATTGACAGTGTATAATCCATTTTCTTGCTTTTCTCTCTGCAAAATGACTTCATTATTTTTCTGAATCAATACACTATTTTTGTTGAAGATAACTTTTCCTCCATTTTCAGTAACTGCATTGACCGACATCAAGTTTTTACATAAATCCGGTACATACAAAACGTCATTAACAATACGTTAATATACAAGTTTTACCTTCAGTTTTTCCAGACCCATTCACTTGCATAGATTGGTTCTTTTTTGTTATTGCAACATCAGAACAGTTTTCGATGTAGTTTTCTTATGAGAAGAAGACCCATTATCAACTACAAAAGATTTATTATCTATATTGCTATGAGTTGTTGTTAAGAATACTCGTTTCTTAGGTTGCTCATTGATTTTACTTGTATGTTTTTTTTCTAAAAAAACATTCTTCGGTGATGTGATTTTTCTTCTTGCATTTTCATAACTTGCTTTCTTTCTTCTTGTTTTTTCACAGAATCTTGCAATGTGTCCAACCTTATTATATTTAAAACATTTTCTCTCAGTTGTTTTGAAATTCCTCCGCGAGAAGTCTAGACGTCAGATGATCTAAATTTCTCTCTTCAGTTGGTGTTGATTCCCAAGCTGTCACAAAATACTTGTATTTATTTGCCAATGTTGACAAAATTTATGATATAAGCATATCATCGGAGATTGATTGATCAATATTTTTTAACCTATACTGCATATTTTTTAAAGAACTAATATGAATAGCCATGTCACTATCTTTTTTAAAATTATAGTTAAAAAATTCTCGTAGTAATAAACATTTCTTTTGATCATTTTCTCTACCATATATTTGGCATAATGTCTAGCTATGAAACCTGGAAATCCCCTCCGCCCTATCATCTCCAATATTAACGCCCCCTCAGCTAAACTCAGCAAATTTCTTTTACACTCTCTCCAAAAACTTAGTCACAATAATCCTTACGACATTCATAATTCATTCCATCTTAAAGAAGAGTTATCTTCGCTCCATATTCCTGATAACTTTATCCTGGTTTCCCTAGACGCCGAAAGCCTTTTTACCAACATCCCAATAGACAAAGCCCTAGACATTGTAGAGAAAAACTGGACAATCATTGAACCTCACACCACCCTTAACCTTTCCTCATATCTTGAATCCCTTGAGCTTTGTTGCAGATCCGGTTTCCTCAGCTTCCTAGGAAAATTCTTTCATCTGGTTTCTGGCCTAGCCATGGGAAATTCCTTAGCACCAGATATTTCCAATATTGTTCTCAATGACCTTCTTGACTCTGTTATCCCTTCTTTTCATCAAGACATCATTTTCATATAAAAAAATATGTTGATGACCTCCTCCTTGTTATTAACCCTGACAGCATCCCCCAAATTCTTTTCTTATTCAACTCCTATCACCCCCGTCTCCGTTTCACCATAGAGAAAGAAGAAAAAAATTCGCTCCCCTTCTTAGACCTCCTAATAATGAAAAACATTGACGTTTCTGTCTCTACTGACTGGTACACTAAACCCACATACTCAGGCAGACTACTCAACTATTACTCCCAACACCCATATCACCAAAAAATCAATACCGCCAAAAACCTTATTCACCGATCCCTCTCCTTATCCGATCCACAATACCATCAAGCCAACACTCAGCGTGTCAAAAATATACTGCTCTCTAACAATTTTCCTCTGACCACCATACATAAACTTTTAAATTGCTATACAACCAAAAACAATACAACCTCCCATTCTCCCAACTCCCCACAATCATCTACCACTCCTTTCATATACAAATCTCTCCCCTATATCCCTATCCTCTCAGACAATATACAAAAATTCCTAAAATCGACTATAACCAACTTACGCCTTGGCCTTAAGTCCCATAACAAACTTTCTTCCCTTTTCACCAACTTGAAGGATCCCATACTCTTACAACACCGATCCAATGTAGTTTACCGGATACCTTGCTCTACTCCTAATTGCAATAGCTCCTATATTGGTGAAACCAAAAACTATCTCAAAACCCGCATTTCCCAACATAAAACGTCCATAACTTCCCGGAATCCTTCCGCCTCCAAACTATCAGAACATGCTTTAACACTCAAGCACTCATTTGATTTTGAAAAAACCTCTATCCTTTCCACGCTCCCTAACCATGAAAAAAGACTCATTTCCGAATCTATCCACATTCACATGGAACACAATCCCGTTAATCACAAAGTAGACAAAAACTGTATTTCTCTTACATATAGACACATTTTAAGTCTTATAAGGGAAAAATAACTTAAATATTCTATTCTATTATTTTCATCTACTCTCAATTTTTATTAATTAATTCATTTAATTGTTCATTATTCTAAATATTCCTTCTTTGTATGATCTCTCTTCTATTTTATTCTAAATTTACATTTACACTCTACACCAATGTATGACCACCCTATTTTTTTTTTTTTTTTTTCCCTCTCTATACTTTTAAGTTAGCTCTGCAATGTATGTATGTTAATGAAGTTATTTCTATATTTACATTTTACTTTTTACCAATTTTGGGTTTATTCACATTGTACTCTGATCTAGAATCATGAAATACCTCTCACATCTCTCAACTCTATTTTATATGTATACTTATATATTTATAATTTAATACTTCATAGATACAGTATTTTTCCATTGTATCCATCCATATCTTCAAACATTCCTAGGTACTGTACATTCCTGGGTTTTTCAATCTTTACTTAGTTAACACATGTTAACTCCCCCTATACCTGCAATCCTTACCGCTGCCTTTCCAGTTCTAAGTGAAACTCCTAGAGGAACACACCTGTAAGTCTCTAATCTTATTTTTTTCTCCTGTAGATTTTGTAGAATTATACTCACATTTTCATTTGTTATATATTACACTACAACAATTGTTAGCATCTATTTACTTTATTTTAGGATCTTGTTACTCAGCTTACTTAGTCCATATTTTATTGTACTTACTGTTTATAATTCTAATAAGCTTATTCACATTGTTTATAAATTATGTCTAAATATTATGTAATTGCCACAATTCTCTATCTTTTTGTATCTTGTCCGTTCTAGCCCTGATGAAGACCTGCAAAGTCGGGTCGAAACGTTGGCTTTCAATAAAATAGTTTTACCACTATTTAGCCTTTTTATGACCGCAACCCCGGACCATCTCCTTCCTTTATAATGCAACGGTCAACTATTAAATATTCTTTAATATGTTGTGCTCTTGCATCTTTTCTCTTCCATTCATTTTGGATTTTTTCTTCATCTGTTGTTGAAACTTTATTTTTCCCTGTCACTATTTCATCTAATGATTTGCTTTAAATAAAATATCTATTTGAAATTTCTAAAGCTGAAAAGAGTCGGTGTTGCCCAACTTCTCTATGAATTCTGTGTCTTCTGATTCTGACATTTTAAGTATATGTAAATAGAATTGTTAATCTGACCTTTTTAAATTCAATCAACCACTTAACCTCTTCTGTTTTTAATTTCACTTCAAGACGTAACAATTTTACTTTCTGTTAATTTTCTTAATTTGCAGAATGTCCTGGGCCCATAACCTGTTGATTTTATTAATGGTTTATGGGTTTTCTTATTAAATGTAAAACATTGAATAAACCACAAGCCTTTTTTTTTAAAGCAAAATCAATCTTTATTAAACTAACAACACAACTTCATAGAAAGAACA